CAACGCGGGGCGGCTGTTGGTTCGTGGCGCTGGCAAGACCAAAGGGACTGCCCAGCGGTCGCTCGTTTCCAAGCAGCAGTGCCGTGGTCAGCCACAACTCAGATTTGGATTAGGTGGCTGCTCATTGAGAAGGCGGCCGTCTGTGCCGAAAAGAAGCCGCTTCTTGTAGTGTCGCAGACAGCCGCTGTTCAGCTCTCAGATTTGCTTCGCTCCCCGCTCGGCACGCGGCCGCACGCCCTGAGGCGCACACCAAAGCTGTACACGTCCGCGGCCTTGCTCATGCGGCCCTCGAGCAGCAGCTCCGGCGGCATGTGCGTCACGGTGCCGTATGTGCGCGTCGAGATGACGCCGTCCTCGTCGCAGACGGTGTGGCTGAGGCCAAAGTCAGACACCTGAGAGCCGGGTGAGCGGCCGCGCACAGGGGGACAGGCGGGGTCAGCACAGACGCATCAAAGGGCAGGGCGCGCACTTGTGGAGACGGGTGCATCTAGGCGCAACAGGCGCCTGCTGCTTTCCCCACGGCACGGGCCGGCGCCAGGGGACATCAGGGCTTAGGGTTGAGGGTCTCCCTCAAACAGCGGGCTGCAGTTCTGAGCCGCATGCAGATCTGAGATCAGGAAGCTTCCGGGCCGCAGGGCCTTGCGGGGCCGTGTGCGAAGCAACGCGGCCGCGCGGGGCGCGCCCCCTCACCTTGGCCACGAAGCCCCGCGGGTCGCGCTCTGCGCCCTCGGGCGCCGCGGCCAGCAGCACGTTGAACGCGGTGAGGTCGCCATGCAGCACGCCCTGGTTTAGGGGTGCGAGGCAGCGAGGCGTAAGATAAGAGGGGACGCTCCGCGAAAAATGAGGCTGTTTCGGACCATGGAAGCGGCTTTCAAACGTGGGCGCCAGCACACCACGACCGCTTGGCTTCCACGTTCGGCCCGCAGGCCCGCGAGCGGCCACCCTTCGCCGCGTCGGAGCGGCGGCCTCGCCGGCCTGCGCGACGACTCGCCGCGGCACGCATACTATGTACCAGCCGCACCTCGCTGTGCAAGTAGGTCATGCCGGCCGCGATCTCCCTCGCCGTAGTAATGACCGCCCGCACGTTGAGCTCGCTGCCGGCGGCGGCGGCGCGGCCGCCGCCGCCGGGGCGCTCGCCGATGCTGAGGCGGCGCCCGGCCTTGAACCAGCCCGCATCGATCGCGTCGGCGACACTGCCCAACCCGCAGTACTCCAGGACCAGCCACGCCTCGATGCCCCGCAGCCGCTCCCTGGACCCGTGCCCGCGCCGGCGCCCGTCGCCGCCGTCCAACGCGCCTGCGCCGATCTCGACGCCAAACGCCGCCGCCGCCGGCGCGGGCGCCCGCCAGCTGGCGCCCGCAGGGGCGGCGTCGCCGTCATCGTCGCTGTCGGACTGCTGGCGGCACGGCGCCTCTGTGGGCCGTGTGAGGAACTTGAAGTTGCGCACCACGTTGGGGTGGCTGACGCGCTCCTGCAGCAGGCCCTCCAGCAGCGCCGCGCGCCGCGCGTTCGCGCGCGCCGCGCGGCGCTGCGCGGACGCGGCAGCGGCGGCGGCAGCGTGGGCGTCCACCGTGCCGGCGGCGGAGGCGGCGGCGGCAGCGGTGGCAGCAGCGGCGGCGTGCTGTGCAGGGCCGAGCCCGAAGACCCCGGCGTGGCTGTCCTCGGTGATGACCTCATCAGAGTCACCGGTGATATCATCCTGCTGCAGCTCAATAATCTTGATCGCCACCTGGGTGCCGTGCCAAGTGCCTGGGGCAACAAGGGCGGAAAGGGTTGGAGGCACAGCAGGATGATGTAGCAAGACGTCATATTGATTGCGTGTGCCGGCAAGGTGCGTGCCGTTGGTCAGCGCACACCACGCAGTCCGCCGCCAGGCGACAAGCTTTAGGTAGCGGGGATTGCACAATGGCACACACGAGCTCACACAGCAAGCGCGCACATCGCGCACAGCAGCTGGTGGTGGCGCGCCGCGCAGCAGTGCCGCGGCGCTCGCGCCCCACCTGCGTACACGCGCCCGAAGCTGCCCTTCCCCAGCAGCGGCCCCAACTTGATCTCTGCAAAGAGGCTGTGGTCTGCGGGCGAGCTGAAGATCTGGCCTCGAGATAGCGTAGTCATCAGGCCCGAGAAGTCGCTGAACGCGCCCGACAGCGCCCTGCTGCCGCTGCTGTGCAGCGAGCCCAGCCGGGCGCTGACCACGTCGCCGACGGCACTGGCGATGGTCACATTGCCAGACACGTGCGGCGACTGTGGCGGCGCCCCGCCCCCGGCGGCCTGGAACGTTGGTGAGGGCCACAGGCCGTCGTCGCTGCGCGACGGCACCGCGGCCGGCGCGTGGCGCCCGCTCGTGCTGGCGCTTGTGGTGATGCCGTAACGCCCCGCCGCCGTACTGGCGCCGCCCGCGCTGCGGCCGCTGCCGCGGAAGCTGCATGTGCTGCGGCCGCTGTTCCTTGAGCTGCTGATGCTGCCGATCGCGCTGGTGCGACCGCTGCCCGCGACGGAGAACTCGAACTGCGCCGCGGGCGCGGCGGTCGGCTCGTGCACCTGCGACGGCGCGGCGGAGGCGTGCGGCAGCCTCTGCATGACGCTTGCGAGTGCATCGCAGCTGGGCGGCAAGTGCAGCGAGCGCGTCGGGCGAAGCGGCAATTACAGCAACCGCATCCGTCATGAACGTATTGGCTGAGGTGCGCACCTGGCTGAGGGCCGAGTCCTTTTCGAGGTCGCGCACCACCATCTCCGCCATGTTGACCAAGACGCTCCTCGTCGCGCCGTCCAACGCCCGCGGCTGACAGTCGACGACGCAGAGCGTGCCCAGCCGCGCGCCGGCAATAGACAGCAGGGCGCAGCCGGCGTAGAAGCGGAGGCGGGGCGGGCCCGCGACGAGGGGGCTGAGGCGGAGGCGGTCGTCTAAGAGGGTGTCCTCCACTATCAGCGGCTCGCCGCTCGGCGGCGCCCTGCAGGGCGCAGGTGGCGAGGCGGCGAGGTGAGCGAGGTGGCCGTGGGGCGTCAGGCCGCGCCGGGGGCGCAAGGACGGCACAAGGATGAGGTGCATGTGCGTGGCAGCTGCCGTGTGAACCCGCAGAGTGTGCAGGCCCTGTCTTGGGGGCGCAAGGGGCCTGGGGGTGGGAAAGGCTCACCATTCGTCGAGCAGAGCGCCGGCGCCGCCCCTCGCGCCGTCGGGCGCGCCCACGAGCGACACGCGGGTGACGGGCGCCTGCGTCGCGGCGGCGGTGCAGAGGTTCTGGAGCAGAATGCAAGGAACCTCAGGGGCCGCCGGCGCGACGCAGGGCCCCTGCAGCCGACTACATAAGCTGGAGCAGCAGACGCAAGCCGCGGTCAATTGCGGCGCGCTGCCCGCAGCGCCACGCTGCCCGCCCATACGTGCGGGGGCGCGCGGGGCAAACGCAAACCCCCACCTTGAAGACCATCCGGCACAGCCGCCTGACGCCGTCGAAACGGGGGTCCGGGTCCTGCAATGGGTAGACGGCACTGAGCACAAACCATGCCCGCCGCTGCATGCCACACACCCAAGCCAGCGATCCCATTCTGCGCACGCTGACCTCCTCGCATGGCATCGGGTGCAGTAACACGCGCGGGATGTGAGCCGAGGCTCACCGCGTCCAGCGCTGCCAGAGCCTCTGCATCCTCGGCATCCTGCTGCTGCTGCTGCTGCTGCTGCTGCTGCTGCTGCTGCTGCTGCTGCTGCTGCTGCTGCTGCTGCTGTTGTGCCTCCTGCCGCGCCTGCTGCTGTTGTGGCTGTAGTGACTGCTGCCGTTGTTGCTCATGCTGCCGCAGGTGTTGATGAAGGTCACGCTCCTTGTCGGCGACGCGAGGCGTGCTGCTGTCAGGCTGTGCCTGCTGGCCGTCCGCGGGCAACCCCTTGCCGCGGCCCAGCTTGGACCTCAGCGCCTTCAACATGCTATCTTCATGAACAGGGGCGCCCACGACACTGTGCGCTGAGACTTGAGAGTCGGGATCGCCCGCTACGGTATTATAAGGCCGACATTGCCATCAGATTATGTTTGAGATTTTACCAGCTTCACTCGCAGCTGCACCTTGCTTCATGCTGGGGTGGGGTAAGCAGCCAATGGAAGTTTGTGTGCGTCCCAAGCTCCCACCCCTCACCAGAACCCCACTAGGCGTCCATGCCACTAGACTGGCATGGCAAGTGCTTAATAAGGTGATGAGAATGCGAGTTTAGCATCAGGGATTTGATGCTCAGCGAGCTGGACCGGCTGCTCCTTGTGACACTGGGCCAGCGTCGAAACTTCTCACACTGACGTGAAAGGTTCACACGAGAACACATTGCTGCTGTGACACATGCATAACCCCTAGCTGCTCCAGTAACTCAGCACTCTTGCAAGTGTGTTCAATGGGGGTGTGCCATACCGCTACCAGCCTCTCAAATCAAGCTCACCCCGGCATGGCTCTTTCACGCACTTGCCGGGCTGCGCCCTTACTGAAAATGTTTGTGAGGCGCGCATTTGGCCAGCATCCTTCTGCATGCCTTTTGAGATGCTGCAACGCTCGCTGTCTGCACGCAACAGAGGCGCTGGTGATATGTTCGGTATACAGCGTCTGGGCTGGGCATGGCCGCCTGGGGCAATTGGGGCCCAGAGGCGTGCAGGGCACCAACTATGTCGTTGATGTCACCAGCTGAGAGGGTACCCCACTGCAAAGGCCGCCGTTCAAGGGCCTTGCGACCAATCGCTGGCGGCGATGTGCAGTGCCGTTCTTCCTTGTGTTGACGATGGCTCTACAGTAGGCATGTGGCACAGCTGTCTGCTTATGATAAGGCAGGCCATGCGTTTGCGTTTGAAACTCAGATGCACCCCATCTATGCAGCTTTCTGGGTTCGGGCCCACCCAGAACCACACTGCGCATCTGTGCGGCAGCTGCTGGGCGCAGGTGACCTGGCCGGTGCGCCCGACACAGTGGCGCCTGCCTAGCCCTCCAGCTTGGTCGTGCAGCAGGAAATTGCCTCAAGTATATCACAGAGCGCACGCATGGCTTTGCCGTGTCTTGAACGGTTGTCAGCGCAGGAGTGATCTGAAGTAGACGTTGCTCGCGTCGCCAGGATGGGGTGTGCATCGTCACGCCCAGTGTCTGTGGCGGTGAAGGTGAGGTCCAGACCCCTGGCTGGTGGCGAGGTTGTGTCGGGGTGCGCCACTCACACCGGTGTCTCTGCTGCATGCAGGATCCATCTAGTGCCTCAAAGGTAGAGGAGGTTCTCAAGAGTGCCGTAGAAGAAGTGGAGGACACGAAGGCACCGCATGCCGTTCAGTACTGCGGGGCGCCATGCGCCTTGAACGAGCCATCGCGGATCAAACATTTACATGGGTTGGGCTTGTTGGACACGGTGAGGTGACATGTCAGAGGACGCGATTTGCGAAGCTGCTAGCGGATGCTGCGCACCATGTAACCGCTGCCGAGCTCCCACCGCTTGCGCTCGCGCTGTGCTTTGCTGTGCGCTGACGGACGCTCAGCGCGCCGCTGGCGTTATGTACTCAACCTGATCCCCAGGCGGCGGAGGAGCGCTACGACAACATCACCAAGCTCTGCTGCATGATCTTCAAGGTGGGGGGACCTCCACAGCCTGCGCCCCGCCGGCCTGTCACTCCCAAACAGCTCTCCTCCGAGGGCTGCCCCCGCCCACATTCCAACCCTGCTGCGCCCCGCTCCGCCCCAGGTGCCCATCGCGCTGGTATCCCTCGTCGACGTCGACAGGCAGTGGTTCAAATCCGAGCAGGGCCTCGGCGGCGCGCAGCAGACCGACCGCACGTCCTCATTCTGTGCATGGTGCGCCGCGCTGCACGCAGGCTGTGCGTGCGGCAGGTCGCCGCGCTCGCCGCTGCGGCTGGCGGAGGTCCTCAACGAACCAGCAGCATGCGGC